AATGATTGGATTAATGGCTTGATCCTGATGAAATACTCAAACATATTCCCAAACTAAAATGGCATCAGTAGAAGATTATGGTAACTATCAGGTGGTCTGCCATTGGCATTATCCTTTACAGCTTTCTGGAATCTATCCAGAATTTCACTGCTGAAGCTTACTGACAACAACCGGATTAAATACATATTCTGTTAAGCAAAATGCAACCAGTGCTGGTTAATTGATGACATCCAATTTTGTTACATGACTATGCTTGGCTACTGGTTTCCATGATGACATGGCAGAAGCTTGCAATAGAAGACTTTGCCACATCTACCATATTCCCCTGGTCTTTCAATTCCCCTTGACAATTTCTTAATCCAAAAGAAATTCTGTTGCAAAGAAGATGCAGAAACTGCATTCAAAAACGGCTAACAGCCACAACATTTTCAAACACTGGTTCTCATATGATCACTAAAGTTAAGCAATGTTGATCCTGGTTCAGACTTAGATGGATAGCCACTTGTGAACACCAGGTGCTGTAAGCTTGGATGTGCAGATGTAATGGATAACAGCTTGGAATTGTTAATCAGAGAACCAAGTTTCAATTCCACATCTAGAATATTCATCTGATCTTTCACCCACTGACTAACACATGAATTTCAGAGTCTGTCTATATAAGTAATAAGGAGTGCCAGAAAAAAGCAATGATAACAACAAAGTTGCAATATGAGCTCTGGTAAAAATGGTTGCTAAAGACATTAGGTTTATAATACCCAGAAATTCATACCCAGATGTCCTCAAGGATAAAGGTGGATAAAGGCGTTGGTTAGATCCAGTGACAGGACCCAAAGAGTGTGAGTTCAATACCCAGTTAAGGCAGTGGAGAACTTTCAGAGGGAAATTAGCAGGAGATAACTGATAACTGACATCCATCAAAAACATAGCACGTGGAACGTGGTCTACCCCAGTGAGTGAAATAAAGGGTTTAGTTCAAAATTCCAACCACCTGAAGAAGGCTGGAGCGTACAACGGCCAAAACGTGATAAATATGGCGACAAAGATGAGGACATTAGTCCGAATAATGTAGATAATGTACATGAATTTCAATTATCTTGACAACTTTTTAAGCCAAAAGACATTCCACTACAAAGAAGATGCAGAAACTGCATTTACAGATTTCTTGGAGTCCAAACCTTTACAGCTTTATTGTAATGGTATAAATAATCTCATAACTTGAGAACAAAAAATTATAAATGTTCAAGGTTTCTATTTTGACTGATGTTTCAATACATTAATTCAGAAATAAAATTTGATTCTAAAATATGACAGTATTTTCCGAACAACCTGAAATGAACAGTAAAAGTAAGTGGGAAAAAGAAAAGTTTATTATGATATGTGGAAAAGATAACAGTTAACCCTAGACTTGAAGTGGTTAAAGTTGTTGTGGTTGGGAAATCATCCTTTCAAGAGTTGTTTCCACATGTGTTGGAAGAAACTGTACAAGTGGAACATCCTTCTTACTAATGGTACACAAAGGAAATGAGGATGCTTCAACCCTGTGTAAGAGGCACACCAGATCTAAAAGATGTGAAGGTTAGAACTGGTGAAATTAAGGATTATAGTTCATCTGTACATTTTTCCATGGAGATAGTGATAGAATAAAGAGAGGCTTGCAACATTTCGTCTGTGGGAAAGAAGTTTATAGGGTGGAAACTATTTCATCATCTGTCAAGACAGGAAAATGAAGATTAAGAAACTGCATTCCATTTTTGGTCTGATCTGGCTCTTGTAAGAGTAGATGATAGGAGGAAGAGCCAGGCACTTACTGGTGTGTTACAAGGAACTGACCATTTTTCCACAATCTTTAATGATGGTTTGGTTTTCATATCAACCTCAATGGGTCATTTAATGCCGACAACTTTTTTTTTTCCAATAATATTTTTGTTTCGTCAAAAATCAATTTCTGTTAATATTTTTTCCTCAAAAATGTATAGCTGGTAATATTATTTTTCCAAAAACGTATTGCTGGCAATAGTTTTTTTTTTTTCAAAAACGTATTGCTGGTAATAGCTTTTTCTGCAAAAACGTATAACTGGTAATATTTTATAATGCTTTTTACCTCAGTTTCGAGGGTTAACTATTTGCCCATAGCTGGGACCCTAACAGGTGCTACCATCCTGGGTCAGCGTGGACCTTGGAACACCAGTAATTAAGATGTGTTGCTCTTCAAAACCTCCTGATCAAAGGCCTTGCTGTTGGACGTAGTTTATTGTCTTACCCAGGATGCGGACACAGTTTATCCTCATACCCAGGACAGTGTAGTTTATCGTCTTACTCAGGAAACGGATGTAGATTATCATCATACCCAGGACGTGAATGTAGTCTGGGTGTTAACTATTTACCAATAGCTGGGACCCTAACAGGTGCTATCAACATGGGTCAGGACCTGGGAACACCAGCAATTAAGAGATGATTCTACACTCCTCAAAACCTCCTGATCAGAGGTCTTGATGTTGGA